TCTTGAACTCCTGACCTCGTGATCCACCTGCCTCAGCCTCCCAAAGTCCTGGGATTACAGGCGTGAGCCACTACGCCCAGCCTTCTTTCTCTTTCTTTTCTTTTCTGTCTTCTCACTGTTGCCCCAACTTCAGCAGGCTCAGGTGATCTTCTCGGCCTCCCGTGCCACCACACCTAGCTGATTTCTGTGTGTGTGTGTGTGTCTGTGTGTGTTTTGTTTTTGTTTTTGTAGAGATGGGGTTTTGCCATGTTTCCCAAGCTGGTCTTGAAGTCCTGGGCTCAGGAGATTCCCCTGCCTCTGCATCCCAAAGTGCCATAAGTACAGGCATGGAGCCACTGTGCCTGGCCAATTTCCTTTTTTTTTTTTTTTGAAATGGAGTTTCTCTCTCCTCTCTCTCTCTCTTTTTCTCTCTCATTTTTCTTTCTTTCTTTTTTTTAATGAGATGTTGTTTCACTTTTGTCACCCAGACTGGAGTGCAATGGTGCAATCTCAGCTTACTGCAACCTCTGCCTCCCGGGTTCAAGTGATACTTCTGCCTCAGCCTCCCGAGTAGCTGAGATTACAGACATCCGGAAACAGAGTTTCACTCTTGTTGTCCAGGCTGGAGTGCAATGGTGTGATCTTGGCTTACTGTAACCTCCACCCCCTGGGTTCAAGTGATTCTCCTGCCTCAGCCTCTTGAGTAGCTGGCATTACAGGCATGCACCACCACACTGGCTAATATTTTGTGTTTTTAATAGAGATGGGGTTTCACCACATTGGCCAGGCTGGTCTTGAACTCCTGACCTCAGGTGATCCTCCTGCCTCCACCTCCCAAAGTGCTGGGATTAAGGTGTAAGCCACCATGCTCAGCCAATTTCCTTCTTTTTAAAGTCTGAATTAGTCTCCCTGTGTGTGTGTCTCTGTGTGTGTGTATCACATTTTCTTTATCCATTCATCTACTCGTAGACATTTAGTTTGATTCTGTATCTTAGCTGTGGTGAATGATGCTGCAAGGAGCATGAAAATGCAGCTATCTCTCCAACATAAGGCTTTCCTTTCCTTTGAGTATATAGTGATATTGCTGGATCATATGGTAGTTCTATTTTTAATTTTTCTGAGGAACCACCATATTGTTTTCCATCATGGCTTTCCAAGAAAATATCACTTAATGACTTCGATTTTAATTAATGATTGCAAAAATGTACGTATTTTGAGCTACTTAGCCTTTTCTTTGGGAGGTTCTTGTCAGACACCAAAGTAGTCCTTATGGATGATGGGATTGAACTATAACTAAAAACCAAGTTCAAAAAAAGAACACAGTGTCCCTGCCTCCAAGGTTTTAGTGAGAAAAATAGACATGTTTACAAATATCTATATTACAAGATAGTATAAATGTAATCGTATGGTAGCAATATCAATTGTGTGCTACTGAATGACACAGAAAAGGAGAGGTTCATTCAAGGTTAAGTATGAAGAAAAGTTATGGGGTGGGTGTAGCAATTTAGCTGGAACTTGATGAAGGAAGATTTCCTTGATGGAAAAGAGGCCTGCTGGAACAGGAGAGTAGCACAGAGATAGGGAAGTCCAGTGTGTTGAAAGGAAGCAAAGCAGGTTGGAGTAGCTGAAGCCGGGAATTTAAGACAAATAAGGCTAGGAGGTGGGATGGGGCTAGATTATGGAGACTATGACATGTCATGCTAAGAATTTTTTAATTCTTAGCTTAATGCTAAGAAATTATAATGTGATTGAACATTATTGGTATATTTATATAAACAGTGTCAGCATCCTTAACTGCATTTTTGCCTTTAATTTCAGTTTTATGAGTTTCCCTCTAAAATAAGTAGTTGATTAAAATCTCAATGTGTGCTTCCTATCAGTTAGTCAGTAAACATACTACTTTGTGCATGGCATACTAAAAGGATGCATTTAGACAGCAGATCAGACCTCACATGATCATGTATAAATCGTGCAGAACATTTGCTAACTGAAGGAACACATCGGTGTTGTTAACATCATCATAGATTTCTTTACCAGAACACTATTCTCAGGCCAGGCTCTGCAGGATAGGGTTGTGTGGAGAAGAGAGAAGCTGAAACAAGAGCCCCGGAGCACAGTGACCCTGGTAACAGTGTGGGACACAGGGAGATGATGACACCAATGGATCTCTGTGCCTGGTCCTCACTCTGCCTATATTTAACTCTTTGTATTTATTTTGTTAAATATTTGGACC